GTGGGCAGGCATGGGGAGCAAATGGTGGGGGCAGGGGTCAAACTGCTTGACTCTCTCCTGCCACTGCCTGCTCCTGACTGTTTTCCTAGAGGGTGGGACAAATTTAGGACAATCCTTCAATAATTAGATTCTAGCCATAGAGAATTATAACAAATTTATACATTTTTCATGTGTAGAATCTAATTATTGGGGGGTTATCTTAACTTCAGGGTTGTCTTAGATTCTGGGAAATATGATAAATAGAAAGCTGATAAAGCCTGTAATACTGATGATATGATTCATGCTATGCAATTGTAACACATTCTTATATTCTTTAATAATATAGTTCATTCCTGTTGTCTGAGCATGTCTGCATGTGCCCCTGACTGCGCAGTCTTGGCAGGTACTGTGCAGTCCAATGGCACACAGTTATTTTTAGACACTATGCTGCTGTAGCAATGAGCTATGGCCACATAGCTCATCACTACAATGACACAGTGGTGGCGTCACATTTAATGCCCACTGATGCTACGTCGCTGTAGCAACGAGCTATGCCACCGCAGCTCGTCACTATAGTGACGTAGCATCACGTGTAGACATGTCCTCTAAGTAGCTAAATCATGCAATTAAGGACATTAATTAGCATAAATTATTAAAAATGGTAGCGTGAGAGTGATGTTATATCTATGACGGTCTAGAAACTATGCAAGAGGCAAAGATTCCTTAGGGTGATATCCTTTATTGGACCAATTGCATAGCTGGGATAGTGTCAGACAAGCAATAAAAGATATTACCCTAAAAAATCCTTGCCTGTTGCATGATTAAAAAGAGGAAGAATGTTGCAAGATTTCCGTTGTGCAGTATGTCAAACATGGTTCAGTTGCAGGATGTTAAGAAATGAAATCGATTTCTAACCAGGAGAGTTCCAGTTAGATAAAGGCATTGGAAGTTTTAATTCAAGTTTCCAGTTATGTTCATTTTGATTCTCCATACATGCCCAATCAAATCTTTTTTAGTTCTTTTTTTATGACTGTTTTTTTAAAGTGGGATATGCATGCCCCTGAAAGTACTTTTCAAGTATACAAGAGACAAAGGCATGAGAAAGCAGAAGGGAAAGCAGAAATATAAGTGAAGGAAAAAGAGGAAAAATTACTAAGAACAACTCTGCAGTATTTCTTAGATCATTTGAGAGATTACAGTGTAATTGTGATGATGTGTCATGTTTTAATTATCCATAACATAGAATTATAGACCTATATAGAACCGTTCCTTCAAAAGGAGCATGCATCCCACAAATGATGAGAGCTACTGGTTTATGATGTAACCATTATCACATTAAGCCAGAGTCTTTGCCTACACTGATTACAAAAATTATTAAAAAAATTAAATAAACTCTTTCCTAAATGTGCTTTGTGGGAAAAATCCCCCACTATCAATGTTTAATGTATATGGGACCTAAAACAGAAATTGTGTATGTGAGGGTGAGTTCTTTTCCTTACCTTTTTCAGCATCCAAGATGATCTTTACAGACTTTGAAATTACCCAGTAGGATGCACTGGATTGAAGCTGTGAATGGTTTTTTTTTTACTTGGTGGCTTGAATAGCAGTGATAGAGTCCTCAGGATATTTTTTGCAATAAGATTGCAGTTAGTTGTACTTTTAGAAAAATGAATGGCATTGTTTGAGATATATACCATGCCAACTTCTTAAGATACGCTTTAGGATTTCATTTTAATTTTACTGTAGACATTAAGCCATTTTAAGACAGTGGGTGTTTCACGTCTTAAATATTCCTTCTCTTGCTTCCTTACATTATTGCCTTCCTCTTTATAAATAATATTTTACTGAATAGAGTTCCGACTGCTAGACTAACAAGAATATCATTGTTTTTTCTCTGGTTCCCTCAACTCATTGACAGAGGTTGTCTTCATCTGTGAATTATTGCAAATGAAATGAATAGGAGGTTTTATTTTACATGCTTCATGTTCTTTTAATAAAAATTTAAAATATCTACTAAAGTAAAGTAGTAGTATCTTAGTAGTAAAAGTAGTAATATCGACTAAATTTAAAATGCACTTCTAAAGTAAAACTCCAGGGCAAGAACTCCAAAACGTTAACCATTTGTGTACAGATAGTGCTGACCCTGAAGACATCAATTACGTTTTAGTTTTCATTTCACATTTTTTTTTATACAGTGTGATAAGTATGGAGTTCATTTATTTTATACCCAGGCATCTAGTACTGTCCTTCCTATAGTATTTTTAAACCCATCTGTGATTATAATCTTCTGAGTTTCTTTGAAACAGTGGAACTCGGCTATAAAAGTTTGCTTTAAAAAAAGCTTTCATTCAAAAAATGAACGGAGTTCAGTGCAATTTAAAATTATTTGGATTGCTCTTAAATGTAAAGTGTTCCCAGAATTTCAAATTGCTTTTTTCTTCACGTGTGCAGATACATTCTTTGCTCACCTGAAGCACTTCAAAGCCTTTGAAGTGATCCCAGTTCAGCACTTAACACAGAGCAGTTTCTAATTTGCAGAAGTCCTTCACTTTGGAAATATGTCCTCTGTCAATTTTATTAAACCGTTCCTGGCATATGAAGATAAGTTAAAAATGGGAATATATGAATAATATTAAAAAAAATAATATAAATAATATAAAAAAATGCTATAGCAGGCCTTCACCAGGCATACCAAAGAGAGAGTAAGATTAGAATAGAGCATTGTTCTGAGAATCTGTAGAAACTTGTAAAATGCTGCACTGTCCCAAGCTGTTGCTGATTGCTATGAGTTTGCAATCATGTATGCCAGGAGGTAATACATTTTCACTGTTAGTTGCAACAACTTACTTTAAATAGATGAGGACTTAAATAACCCTCTGAGATAAATCTTTCTAGCTTCTTGCCAATTTATAAAGTGATTAGTCAAACACTTCTACCATGGCATGTTAACTCTTTGCAGACAAAGAAAAATGTGCTTTTCTGATTCTTTTCTAGTTTCCTCCAACCTTTGACCAAACTTTCTTTAAAAAAATTGGCTATTGACTTGGAGCACCTTGTTTTGTGGTTGCCTGAATTCCTGCAGTAGTGCCAGACGTATTTTTCTTTTTTTCTGTGGAAATCAACGGAAACTACAGGTGCTCCATATTTCTGAAAAAAATCATCCAATCTAGGTATCCAAACACTGGAAACAGCCAACGTTAAATGAATGCTTTTGGAAATACAATTGTAAACAACTAGAAGTGGCAGTGTAGTGCAATTTAAGGGGGATTCAAACTTTTATTTCATTTTTCTGGGTTTTGCACCGACCCCTTGTCTTTCTGCCTTGAGGTACAGGAAAGTATTTATTACACCAATAAACTCTTCCCAGAGTTCTCTGTGAATGAGCTGGTGACTTCTTTTAAGATGATAACCTGAGGAAGGTGGAAAGAGAGTGATGGATGCATATCACTGAGGAGAACTGTTTGTCCAGCTTGAAGCAACCACAAATTTAATTACTGTGTATAGTATGTTACATTTTATTCCTGAAATTTAAAAAGCAAGTTAGTATTTTGGCCATTATGACTACCATAGTATTCCTCAGAATAAGAGGTCTGTGGATATAGCATGCTGTGTTCTTGCAATAAAATCCTTTTATAAACACATTTGTCATCTTTGATGTTGTTTTATCTTGGACTAAGAACCAATTAAGTGCATTGTGGTGGGCGATGTCTTCTCATTTTATTTCTTAATATTCAATGCCATTTGTGACAAAACCCTGGGGTGCTGGGGTGCTCCCAGATGCACACACCATTGTACAGACCAGAGTTTGAGCTTTGCTATACTTGTATTTCCCTTCAAATAGATCCAAATACAGGATAATTATAAAATCCATCACAAAATGACATTGCTATACATTTAAAGTTTTGCATAGTTTAGAGTTGTACCAAATTTTTGTAGGTCTTCTGTTCACATTTGGTTCATGTACAGCTAACCTGCTAATCTTACTTATATTTCAGATAGTCACAATTCATGCTTCTCAATCCATTTTTCTTGCCTTTACAATGTATCTGTGTACAATCTCATCTACAAACAAATTGAACTGCCATCCCTGCATAAGTCTCTCAGACGTGCCTCCTTCTATCTAAACTGAAACATTGCCATGGATGTCTAGCTTTTACTCAAGATAAATATGATCAACAGAGCCAATAATTGTCCACCTCCAGCCCTGTCTATTACCTGCTTTCTCAGTACTGCGGACAATATCACCATTTTGTATAGCTCAGGATCCCTCTTTGTCCAGATCTAACTCTAGGTCTTGCAGACTCTTTTACATAACATTTCTAAGATACTGGTTTTCCTGTTCATCCACGCAGCTACACCTTTCATCCAGTGGAATCTATCCATCAGCTCCTTCATCATCACATCAAATGTATCCTGTTTGCCTTGTATTTTAAAGTCCTAGAGTGGTCACCCCTCACACCTTTTTGAGATGTTGACTTTTATCTCTTAGTAGCCCATGATGCCAGCTTTCACAGCACTTGTGCAGATGTGTTAGAAAATCAAATACTTTGCGTTTGCGGTGGAAAAATCAAATGCTATCTATACTTAAAAAAAAAAAAAATTACAGATGGAATATTAGATTCAAGTTGTAAGCTTGAATATTAACAATACACCTTGATCTTGATTCTCCTTGGTGGCATTTATACATGTGCTTTACTGCAGAGTTGACTAGCTCCACAGTAAAGCATCACCATCTATATGTTGTGCAGTGGTATTAGGCCACAGTAAACTAATTAACTCTGCCGTAGGATAGTACTGCCCAACACAAGTACTAGTGGATTACGGGAGGGATACAGCTCAAAAACTATTTTATAACTAAAGCAATAGTTTTCCACTAAAAAATAAAGATTTAGTCCTACAAATAGAGCATAAGCAGGCAACAGGAAACACTACATTTTGATGTTTAAATGACTATCACTTGAAATTGCAGACATGTAATTTGTATAAAGCACTAGGGTTTTGTATATAATTTCAGATTAAATCTTGCAACTGTCAGTTAACTTTTTTTTTCCTCTTGTTTCAGTGACACAGGAACAAAACCTCCAGAGAGTGGCATCTTTGGATTTATGATTAACATTTCAGCACTTTTAGGTATGCCTAGTGTATTTGGTCTGAACAGGTTAGAGAACCTGGGGTACCTGTACATGTGCTGGGAGGCTGCTCCTACACGCTACTAAAGCTCATTTGAGAAGCTGTAGTTAAAGTACCCCTGCTGCCATTTTGAAGCATGGGGACACTGCTACATGAGATGCTGCAGTGCTTTAATTAGAGTGCCTCTTGGAGCCGCTCTAAGCAAAGATCCCCCTCCTCATGAAAGCACGTGTAAAAATGCTTCTGGAGTTAAAATGGGATGCCTGAAAGGTGTTGGTTGCTCTACCAGGCCCACCAAAATACTGCTGAAAGACCACTCCACAAGTGGTAACAACAGCCAGAGTGGGAACTACAGCATATGATCAGTGGATCAGTGAGGGTAGACAGTGGACCAGTTCTCCTGTCTCCTAAAGTCACTTAATCCATGCAAAACACTTTTGATACAACTGCAAAGGTGAACAGAAGAAAATTGTCAACTAGCAAAACTCTGACTCAGGAGTAGGCAACGTTTTTTGGCTGGAGTGCCAACAAAAACCACAGTGTCTACCTTGGAAGGTGCCAGAGTGCTGGCATGCCAGAAAAACAAAATGAGGGCGGAGGGGGGTGGGGAAGGGTACATGGCATGGCGTGCTGCATATTAGTATATTTAATAACCATAAATGTTGCCTTTGTTGTTGTGTATTCCTTTTTTGTTGAGCATGTTGCAATGAAAGAGAGAGAGAAAAAAGAGACAAATAAGAGAAAGAGGAGAGAAAGAGAGAGAGAAAGAAATAGGAGAGCAGAGAAAGAACCAGACACATGCACACAGAGAACCACATGCACAAACACAGAGAACCAGAACACACCCAGAACAGATACATGCTCACACACATCCAAGACCAGACATGTGTGTGCATGCAGACACAGAACCAGACAGAGGCAGACAAACGCACAGAACCAGATGTGTGGGCACATGGAGCCAGGCTTCTGGGCCACTGGACAAAGTCTGACCCAACAATGCCCTGGTCCTGCCAGAGCCCCTGTGCTTCCCAGGCAGGCACAGCTGCAAGCCCTGCTGCAAGCAGCCTAGACTCCGTGGTTCACAGCAGCTGCCTAGAGCCCAGGCTGGCGGTGGCGTGCCAAGCAAAATGGCCTCATGGGCCGTGCTCGGCACACATGCCAAGGGTTGCTGACCCCTGCTCTGGCTGAATAGCTGCACTTCCTGGAAATCACTGACATAAGGGGAAGAAGAAGGTTGGGTGTGGGTTCAGTGGTGTCAAGGAATGGTGAAGTGAACCTTGATTATGCCTGGTCCCCAATTGACTCAGTGACCTGACAACCTTATATCATACTTCCTCTAAAGGTCTGTGAGCAGAAGCAAGTTGACTGTGTATGGAGATTATTTGTAACAGCAGTGCCACAAATATTATATGGTTTGTTCTTTCATGTGAACAAACTGTTATAATGCTGCTTTTCAAAGGGTCACTTTTGTAGCATGTTGTGAGACTTCTGTTATAACTCATCCCTCTGATACAGTCAATTTTCCTGTAGAGACCAGTGTCTGAGGGCACGTCCCCACAAGCGTGCATGTGCATTTCCCTGGGGACAACTAGCTGTGGCCCATATTTGTGTCACTGCTCACTGTCCCCAGGGAACACACCTATATGTGTACTCTAGCGCGTGGCAAATTGCATTGGGTGGGGTAGGGGAAACTGGGGCCAGCATCTGGGCTGGCCTCAGCAGCCTTACCTGGGTTCCTGGGGGCCTCCCAGGGTTATAGCGATGGTGAACTGGGCGTGCAGAGTTAAAAACACAGAGTTAAAAACAATTTCTAACAATGTAATTGGGCATGAGGTTTTTTTTCTGTTCACATCCAGTAAAGTATGGGCTAGTCGAGACGTCAGTTTTAAAGCAGCATAGATCCCAGAGGTATCTCTCAGCTCAGAACAAATGCTACATCCCCTGATTTACTGTTCATAGCTCTGTCATAACCTTTCCTGATGTGGAATGCTTACACGTCAACATTACCTGCTTCTGAAGTCCTGATGATAATGGGATGGAAATGGCCCCCTGTCCTAAACTGCTTCAAAGCTATCTAAAGGAGCAATAGGGTAGTATCTGAATCTAACATGTAAAGAATTTAAATATTCCCCATCCTCATCCCAGTTGAATTACAGAAGATGCATCTCAGTATCTAATGTTTTTAAGTTAATTTTGTTTCATATGCTATTTCTCTACAAAAAATGTTAAATGCAACAGAATTGCATGATTATATTGAATAAAAGGTGTATTTTTCTGTTTTAGGTGCAGTTACAATGTACATCAGATATTTAATAGTAGAGAAGCAAAAAGAGTCATCAGATTGTGTTGGTTCTTTATTTAACTTAATTACACTATGCATTGGATTGCTGGGCTGTATTGGAATGGGCATTGTTGCAACTTTTCAGGTATGGTGCAATTTTCATCATTAATCAAGCTTAAACATTTTCACAGTAAAAAAACCCAAGATTATAAAAGTATGTGTTTAATACACAACCATGGGCAATGGGCATCAGGAGAAAGTGTTCTTTTTTACTCTTACCTTCACATTAGCTCCATCCAATGTCAGGTTTAAAATAGATATTTTTTACAGTGCACTAAATTGATTAAGAGGTACCATTTTTGGCAAAATTTTCTAAACCAGCAAAAGTTATAGTATAAAAGCAGTTATAACTGATAAAAGTGCTTATCAGGGAATCAAAATAAGTTATGTTAGAAAAAAACACTTTCTTGCCAGAATAAGCAATGTATACACAAACTACCAGGATAGCTATACTGGGAAACCTTTTCTAATGTAGTCTAGGCCAAATACAAAGTGGGTGCTATCACCACCAATCTGAAAATTGTCAGCCTATCATTTAATGTCTGAAGAAGAGAAGGAAGCAAACAAATTGTCTGATCAAACCATGAAGAATTGTTTAATTAAAGCCCCTTTATATTGGCAGAAGAGTGTAAAAAGAGGGCTAGTGTAAATGGGGTGGGGGATGGGAGAGGAAGATTAAGACGACAGTGTTTAAAATGAAATGTAAGGAAGAAAGAAAACATTTAAATAGAAATAATCCTACTCACTGTTTCAGTGAAAAAGTATCTGGCAAGACAGATTGTATCTGAGACTGACTAAACCCATTGGAAAGAATGAGAATAATTGCACAGAGCCACTCAGTCCAGGGACAGTTTGAGTTCCAGAGCCAAGTGGCAAAGGGCATTTGATGAGAAATTATTACCTTCAGATTTGTGAAATTGAATTTAAGAAGCAGTTACTTAAGCTCTTATCTTTCAGGCCTTGCCTATATTGGTACTTTGCTAACAGTACCATAGTTGTTAGCAAAGTTGGGAGACCTAGTATATACAAGGGTCCTATGGCTGCAGCCTTTTTAGAGACTATTAGTTAAGTTTCTTCTTTAAAATTGCAATGACAATAGGAAAAGTGCATCAGTCAGTCTATAGAATGTTTTCAAGTATACTTTTGTGTTTAAGGCATGCTCACCATGGCCTAGATTCAGCAAAGGATATAGGCATGTATTTGCATAGTAGGTCTTGTTGTGTGCTGGAATACTGGCTCAGTTTATGCTAGAGGATCTGCTGCTACTTTAAATATGGATGCAGCAATCCAGCAGCAAGGCCTTCTGGTGCGAGTAGGAGTTTTTCTGTCACAGGAGCTACACAAGCACCTCTGAATAACAGAAGCTCTGCTGGCACAGTCTGCCTTCTACTGGAATAGCTAGCTGCACTCCCACTGTTTGCTTGAGCTACACACCATAGCCAGTGAAGTTCTTTTGATAGTATTTTGTAATGCAGACAAGGGTTTCGATACATGCTTAAGTACCTTACTTTCTGAGTAGAAATGGACTTGAGCGTATGCTTTATTACGTTTTGCTGAACTGGGGCCTATAGGAACAAAGATCATGTAGCTTAGGGAGATATCTGAAGGAAGATGCATTAGGCACAGAACTTTTGCAACTACTACTGCTGAGCTAGGTTGAACTGCAGCTTGTGTGAGCTAGTATCTTTGGCTTATGAAAGGAAGTCTTATTTTCAGAATACCTGTGTAGAATTTTTTTTGTTTTGTAAACCAATCACTGATCAAAAACCAAACAATTTGAACTGTAAATAAGCAACTAAAATAATTAATGCCATTTTCTGCCCATTTCTCTTCCTTTTAAAAGAGCAAATAGGCTGTTTCCTGAGCTTAAAGGTACTTAGTCATATTGAGTAGCTACAGTGTTTTCATTGAGAAATAGAACACAGCCAGTCCATTTACAAAGTTAAAATCACCTTGAAAATGCATTAAGGTGTCTAAAAGTATATTGCAAGTGTAATGTGCTGCTGATCAATTTCTTATCATTTAACTAATACTGTGCAGGATGCAGCAGACTCTGACCTGCTGAAAACTCAGGATTTATTATGCTGTTCAGGTTGTTGGAGGTGAGGGCAAAGTTTTTACATATTCTAGGATTGTTGGCTAGAATAGAATTGCTGGCAAGGAAACCTGGCTGTGGTACCAAGAGGATTTCTGGAACCAATGGACATTGTGAAGTGTGGATAGCCCTTTGCAGTTTGAACCCCATGATCTCTCCATCTTCCCTCTTAGTCTTTCTCAAAGCTTTTATTTCTCAAACATCTTAGCTGCAAACATTTTGAAGAGTCTTGAACCAGAAATAGCCCCTTTCATTTATATTGCCCACAGTCCTATTAGTGCTTTTCATGCTGGTAAGATGCTAGGTGTACTCCTTGTGGTCCTCTGCTCCTCTTTCTCTCAGTATGGTGGAGGCAAGCGGAGTAAGAAGAACCAATTGCAAGAAACACTTGAAGAGCAGACTTGGCAATAACAGTGCAATATCAACAGCTCTCATCACTGCAGGGAAGGGATTGAAAATGTAAGATGGTAAGCAGCATGACCTGGCAGAGAGGTTGATAACTTGGAAAAAGGGAGGATAGAAATACTTCCTCAAAAAAGTACAAGTGCTTTCTAGGTGTACATTTTTTCTAGCACTTGGCCTTGACCAAAGGAAAAGAAGGAAAAATGTAGATCCCTGCCCATTATTATTCATGTTTTATTTTAAAACTCTTTCTCCAATTCTTGGAAGCTTTCCAAAAAAAAGAAAATTCTTTATATTGGTTTTGAGATCTTACTGGAAAGTTTAAATAGTGTTCTCACTTATTTTACCATTTTTAATACAATAATATCATCTGGAAACACCAAAGACCAGGGCTCTGTTATTCTTTATGCTGTATAGACACATAGTAAGATTAGCCCCTGCCTCAGAGTTTAACAGTCTAAACAAAGAAGAAATGTTTTCATCCCTATTTCACAGATGGGGGACTGAGGCACAGAGAGATTAAGTGACTTTATCCAAGGCCAGACAAAAAAATCTAATAGAGAGTTCAGAACTCAACCCAGATCTCTTGAGGCCTAGTCCAGTATCTAAATTATAAGACTGTCTTTTCCCTCTAAGATTTTTTTTCCTCATGTGATGGAGGCAAGGCTGCTACTGAGGTCTCATTATTGCTTCACTTTTCTTTTCTCTGTGCTGGACAGAGGAAGTATTACTCAGAACTGTGTGTGAACACTGAGAAAACTAATGTATAAAACATCTAAATTTCATCATTTCTCCCAAATCCTCTTAGCTTGAGAAACACATTCTAAGCTACAGTACAAACACCACTAAGAGGTGCAAAAGGCCATCCAAACCAAGTGTTCTACAATCGTTGCTATATTCCTGTATTAGTGCTTCTGCAAACCTAGTATAAAATCCAGTAGATTCAGTCCCAAGGGGGAAGAACCATGGGATGTTAGACAGTGTTTTTAAGCTTCCCTAGGATGTCACGTAACTTGCTGCATGTTAACAATAACTTGCCAAAAGCCTAAGCCAAATAGTGTGTTTAAGTAATCTACAGCATTTTACATAGTTTGTCACTAGCTTTGATTTCACCTCCAAAATCAGGACAGCTGAACTTTTCATTTTTTAGCATAACCATCATGATACAGTAAAGTTTTTAACATTTTGCAGCCATTTTCACCCTTGTCTGAAATAGCTGTCATAAGCTTTTATTTATTTAATTTGTTTGCATACATACTGAGTCAATAGTCTATTGTTTGCAAGTTTCCTTGCATAAACTCATGTGACCATATATTTTGTAGTTTTTACATATTGGCTACAGATAATTTCTCATGTGGAGTAAAGGAAATCGTTTTAAGGAGGCACAAAGGTAGAAAACTATTTTTGTTAGAATGGATGGAGACATCTTTCTGTTTTGCCACAATATTAGGTAACTTCAATTTCTGCAGCACTGTGCTGATAAAATAGCTTAACAACCAGAACTAGGGAAAGAACAAAAGAGGGTAATGAGGGTAGGCAAGCAGAAAGAGCTGAGAAAAACAGAAAAACTAAGGCTTGGGAGAAAATGTATGGAGGATTTCAAAAACCAAGGAATGAAATTTGGCATAAGATAGATGATGAGTTATTTTCAGGCTAAAAGACACATCCTTTCCTTCCTTTCCTCCACTTCCTTACAATGGTGTCTTCCTTTGTTAATTTTACCTTGTAGAAGTAGGAATGGTTGATGCGTTGTAACAAAACACTTACACACTGTAGATTTGGCATGCTTTATCACTTTTAAAAGCCCTGTGCTACTATTGGATTTGGTTCATAGATGGCAAAAGAAAAAAAATCACTACTATAGTGGTTAAGATCACCTTTCATTGGTGCCACATAATAAAAATCATCTGCATCAGAAAACAAAACCAAGGAGAAAAATAGGAAACAGAAATAAAAATGGTGTGTGGTCAGGAAAATAAAACTGACATACAGCACAAAGGGGGAACCCCATCACAAGATGTTGTGATTCTTGCCTGACTCCCTCTCCTATATTATTTCTTGTTAGTTTATGCTTTCATCTTTTAATTTCTCTTTCCTCCATATTTTCTCCACCAAATTTTGACTTTTCATAAAATCGTACAAGACATAGTAAGGACTCAATTTCTGCAGTGCAGAAATTTCTAAACACCCCTGTTTGCCAAGGATTGGATAGAAATCATGGATTCACAGCACTTTGCAGGGTTGGGCTTAACATTTTGAGATGTATGTGAGTTGAACAGCATCAGCATTTGGCTTTTATATCTTTTTGGGACACATGGGTAGAGAGTGCTCTGTATATTTATCCCCATATTACTCGTGGGAAAATTAAGGCAGAGAGAAATTGTGTGGTTTGCTTAGAGTCAGAAGATCAGTGGCATACCTAAAATGAGAAACTAGGTCTCATGACTGCTCAGTCTAGTGTGCTAACCAATGGACTATGGTTAGGGACCTACCTAAATCATGGTTTTGTGGAAACTACGAAAAACAGCATTATCCATGATCACTGGAAAATCTGACATTGGCCGTAATTTTCTACAAAATCAACCAAAAAACCGCAGTGACACAGACTGAATGGAAGTGCCCTCTGCCAATTAGTGGTGAGGGGTGAGGCAAAAAAACATGGTAGTAATACAGAGTGAGTGAAGGCACCCTCTGTCGATCAATGGCGAGGGGCAGGGCCACTGCAAAATGCCCTCAAAATCAGCTCTGCACATCACAACCAGGCCATGAAAAACCCTCTGTCTTGCCACAACTTATGCAGGCCCCTAACTATGGTGCAACATTAATTCATTTAGAAAATTCATATACAGTATTTCATGTTGAGTATTTCTTGTTTCTTTGTTTTACCTTTCCTGAACATTTATTTTTTCCTTGGTTACTGATCTGAACCTGCATGTAAATGGTACAGTAGAGCTGAAAGACTCCTGGACATCACTTCATTTTCTCTCCTCAGTGCAAATTTCTACATGTTTTATAGAAAACCTTAAGTGTAAAGTTTCACACATGCTAAATGTTTTATGATTTGCTTTCATCGACACACAGCTCATGACATTTGTTCTGAATTTTTAATTAGCAAAATTACTTGTAAAAAGTTAACTTTTTTAATTCTGTTTGACGCAGAACAACATTGGGTAGAAAGCATGATTTTAATGGCATTTCTCTTGAATGCTCATTAAACCAGGCAGAAAGGATAAGAGAGCTAGCAATGTCCCCTAAAAGCAAAAGATATTTTATGATAGTGAACAGTAGCAATAAGTCAGGTGGTTGCTGTCTATTTATATCACACTGGGGTTAAAAAGTGAAAAACAGATATTAGTGTGAAATTGAGAGAAAACTGACCATTGAATACTTCTCAACATGATGAAGAAACTCCTCAACGTAATGAAGAATTAGGCAAAGCAAAAATCTTAGTTGTGGATTTGAGCATCTTAGACATTGCCTCTGTATAAAAGGAATACTTATTTTTGGATAGCATGCTTTTTTCTTCTTAGAAAACTGGCAAAATGTTAGAGCCTTTTGTAGGTATTGATGGGTTCTGGGGAGGCTGAGTGGGAGCAAAAGGAGAAAGAAATGAGATCAGAAAAGTAAGGCATAGGTAGCAATGCTCACTATTACATTTGCTTAACAGTTTCCACACTGTGTTGTTTTCATATACACATGGGGGTGTGTGGAGTGGGATGGTGGGGAAGAGACACGAAAGGGAAAAAAGATAAGAATCAAAGAGGAAACACACAGGCACCATAATGGGGGAGCATGATTTAAAAATATGAACAGAGGACAAAGTGGAGAGGGGGAGAAATGGAGAGAAAGAAATAAAGCAAAAGATAGCTAAAATAACTCAAGGAAAAGAAACCATTATCAGGCAGAAAAGGGGGAGAAAATGACTCCATATTATGAAGGGAAAGAAGTTGTACTTGTTCTGTACCTCTTCTGTGGACATAGTACTTAACTTGCCAGCATTTCTAAATTTACACTCCTATGAAATAGGTTTACAACTATGGGATGGACAAAGGTACATTTTAACAGCTTGAGAAGGGGACAGGGAGCTGCTGCTCCAGACCAGGAGGCCGCTATTAACTGTAACTGTTACATGTGCATAATCCTGTAGCCATATCAGTATCGCAAAACTGCTCGAACTTTAACCCTGATAAATCGAGGGTCAAAGAGGACTTTAGTTCACTAGTATCACTACAGGCTAATGCACACAAGTCGCAGCATAGGAGCTGTTGCCGGATCTGGAGCACTGGCTCTCCCTCCTCTTTTTTTCAAGGTGCTATAAATATACCTTTATCCACACGCTGTTCCTGACAAAACTGCCTGTTCTTATCTCATCTGTATTATGAAATATTTGCTGCAAATGTTGTATCCCCTTCTCAGTAGGAGAGACAGTATAATCCAGTGGACAGGGTTCTGACCTGGACTGTATTCCCAGCTCTTTAATGAACCTTTGGGAAAGTCACTTCCCCTCTCTGCTCTCCTATTGCTCTGTCACCCTAAATCAATCTGGCATGTTTAGACTGCAAGCTTTTAGGGGTATAGACTGTGTCTGACTGTGTGTTTGTGCAGTGCCTGGCACAATGGGGCTTCAGTCTTACAGTGGGTCTTCATGCTTTACTGCAATACAATGTGTAACTGTTGTGCTGATTATGTTTCCAGGAGCTAGCTGTTCCCAGCGTCCATGATGGAGGAGCTCTTATGGCTTTTGGTGCTGGTGTGGTATACATTACACTTCAGTCCATCATCTCTTACAAATCATATCCACAATGGAGCAGCTGCTGTATATGTTACATACGGATAAGCATCTCTGTAGTATCGTGCATAGCTGTCATTCCCAGTATCCTTTTTGTGTTTCACAATGTTTTATCTTTACATATTAAATGTTCTTCCCCTGGTATTAAAGCACTACTAAAAAGGATAAAGACTAAGCTAGCGTATTTTGCCTGGGACTCCCTTTTGATTTATACTGTATACAAATAACATGGTTAGCAAGTGGGTAGCATCAGTAACATGAATGGCAGCTGCCAGACCTTACCAGCTGCTGTCTCTTTGCTAAAGGCAAAGTTGCTATTACTTGCTCCCCTGCTACCTAGATGCAAGATGCGGTAATAGCCACTTACACTGCATGCTCCCTCAGGCTAACTATGCTTTCTGTTCCTTCTTGATTCTGGTGTAAAATTACATCGGTACACAAAATTATATAAATTACACTAGGATATGCAATAGTCTGCTCATGGCCTAGGTTTCATGCTCATTTTCTGTGCATTTGGTAGTGAAGGAAGGAAGGAGAGAAGAGGAATTTCTATTTTAAAGGAAAGCTGGTCCATAAAAATACAAATAATTCAGCAAGCAGGTACAAAAGGTTATCTTGTACTAAGTATCACACTGCAGGCCATATATATCAAAGGTCCGTGCACATCACTTCTCTTTGGCCCATGAAGCAGCATCCATTAGAGAGTTATTTTGACTGCAGAACGGAGCTGAGCCCCATTTTCTGTAACTGAAAAGGCAAGCAGCCATCCACCTAAACTGTCTCCTCTCCTCCTGAATAAATGCCATAAGCCAGGGGTGCTCAATCCTCAGCCTGTGGGACAGATTTGGTCCTTAAGGCTCACCCAGGGGTCCAAAAATTTGGCAGCAGGAGAGTGGTTGGCAGCATTCATTGCCGTACCTCAACTGCCAAATTTCTGGACCCTTGGGTGAGCCCTGCAGGCAGATAGCATGGCCCTGCACGCTAAATCTTGGTGGGCTGGGGCAGCACAGGGCCCAATCTCGGTGCATGGGGCTGGGGCACAGGACCAAAGCCAGGCAAGATCCGCATGCTTGGGGCTTGACCCAGGCAGCACAAGGTGGGTTCTGGGCACACGGGGCCTGAACCTATGCAGGATCCAGCCCATGGACTGGCTCTGTATCAGTCATCCAGCCCTCAGGCCTGAAAGTCTGAGCGCCACTGCCATAAGCAATTCTGCATGGTTACCAAGGGGAGCAAAATAATAAGGAAAGGTTAAAACCTTAAGTTTGTTCTTTTGTCATCATAGTATCTAAGCTATGAAAGGCAAAAGGTCAGTTTTTTTCCTTGGTGCTCATGGTCAACTATCTTCTCAAAGACCAGTCAGCTAAGTATTTTTAAACCCTTTGTCACCATAGTTTATGCAATAGCATTCAACAACTGAACACACATACATTTCAGTAGGTAGGATGTATCCCCCAGGCACTGAAATTTACAGCGTGTCTAGCTCATCGTGCAGAAAACTCTCAGCTCACCCATGATTTAACCCATACCAAAACACTAATTATTGCCAGTCCTGCTTTTTGATTCACAACTTTTCTGTTTCATGGCAGTAAATATTTACAGAATGCTGTATAACCTACAACACTGTAATAATGCTATAAAATATGTCTAGGCATTTACCTTCTCGTGTCAATGTATTTCATAGAAGGTTTGGATTATAATGATTTGTAATAGTTTTGCCCACAAGAAGAGGTAAGAAAACTAGTTGTCTGGGTATATATTAACGTTTGCTTTATTATGACAGTAATGCAATAGAGAAACTAACACAGGCCAAAGAAGAAAAAAATAATATTTCCATATTGCAAAATCTGTCTATTGCTGACTGTCATATGATTTTGCTTCTCCTATAGCAGCAGCAGTCTTAGTGAGAAAAAGGAACTTTGTTGACAAATTACTGTCAAAAGAACTGAAAACATTTCTTTTATATAAAATTTTAGTGTTTTATCACAATAAAAATTTGCTGTTATATAAAGAAAAGTATTTGTCAGTGAGCTAACTGCTCTATTCATGTATTCAGACTAATAGGGATGTTACAATATAAACTCATTAGTACTAAGAACTACTTTTTGTGACAAATCTAGAAAACAACCCCCCCCCAACTTTCCAGAAAAGAGATCCCTATTCCAGCTTGTGTTTTACTTTTCTGGTACAGATAACCAAACTGTAAGATACTGTCCTTTGAGTTGACTTAGCAGTTAACTCAATTGACAGTTGAGAACTGTCCTTAATGTTAATAACTAAGCATTTGTTATAGATCTGATGACAAACCACAGAGAAACTATTAGTTGCGATTCAGGCTAGAAAATGTTTTCAGAACATAAGCAGTGCCATACAGAATCAGACCAATGGTTTTCAACAGCGGCAAGTAATAGCTGCTTTAGAGCAGGGGTATCAAACATACAGCATTAATGCGATGGCTGCCAGAGTCACAGCATCAGCATAGCCAGCACCCAGGGGGTGAAGAACACTGCAAAAGCTAATGTTTTTAGTTACTGCTAGTAATTAAAATCAGTAACATTCACCCCTGCGCTCCTGGCCATAATGACATTGCAGCAGCTGTGACTCCGGGGCTAAGAAGTGGAAACACTGAATTCTTGGTTGATGCAACTGACACAGCAGCTGAAGCCCACAGACCTATCCCATGGAGACCATATGAGTTTGACACCCCTACTTCGGAAGGAAAGTGTATATGAATTTAGTTTAATCTGAAGAGAAGACAGAGAGGATTTAATAGCAGCCTTCAACTACCTGAAGGGTGGTTCCAAAGAGGCTTGTGGTTTAGGGATGTCAGATAATTTTTGTTCTTATTAAGGCATTACCTTCACTTTCATCCCCTGACAGTAGGTTGTCTCTTGCCATCCCAAGCCCAAACCAAAGGTCGACTAAAGCATGGCCCTAGCATCTTACTATGCCCTTTCATTTTGAAGCCCACAATGTTCTATTTATGACCTTGAACAGAAAATGACCACCCATTTCAGTCACACAGCTAAGTGTGTTCCTGGTTTCTGCTGCTGTGAAGGATTTTTGAATAAGGCCCTCAAGTAGTTCTTGGAGCTATGCAAATAGATCCAAGCACCCGTTTAGAGGCTGGTTGAAGCTGTGGGGTTCTGCATCTTACCATGCAAGACTCTGCTCAGATAGCTCACAATACAGGAGTGAGGCCAAAATTCTAACAGAAATGCTTCATCTCACATCCATCCAACTCTGTGAAGACCCATAGTGACTTTATTTATTCAGAGACACGTGCTGTGTTGATTATGATCATCCCCTTTGATAAATATATTTTGTTTGCTTGGCTTTGTGATATTCAGGTTTTCTACTATAGTGTAACTGGTTGTTCAGTCTTGCAGAAGGGGAAATTGGGCACTTTATAAAACATAAACTTTTAAGTTCGTTATTGTTTCCTTTATGCTATTTTTCCCAGTGATTGCATTTGCTTCACGAATTTCTATAACGAAAATTGATTGGATTCCAGGTGAAAAGGTAAAACCTCACTAGGTAACCAACTTATTTATGCAGTCTAATAGCTTGGTTCTGCAATACTATACACTTCTAGATAAAACATAAGGACAAATATCACAAGGATTTTTGTATTACAGTAAACAGAAGCTGTCAAACCTGTACACTATGTTATTTTTTTTAATGACTCCCTATTTAGGCAACAATATTTAACGGATAGGCTTGTGAAGATTAGTAATGAGCACATGTCAAAAACATCAGACTTTCATTTTAAGCAAGCTCCTAAAAGTTCCCACAGTCTAAATATACAACTGTAATAACAGCTCATTTCTAGAAAGAGATCATTTCAACACATTACTTCCTTATGCAGCCTCCTGACTTCAGTGACCTTTGGAGTGTTTGTAGTGAGGACTGCGAAGGATCTAAAAGTGTATTTGTGGACAAACTATGCCATGGTGGGGAGTACTTTCTGCACAAAATCAAGTAAAAGAATGCAGTGTTTGCATCTTGCTATGAAGTTTTAAATAAGGGTAAACTTGGCAACATGCTTAAACAAAACTGGGAAGACAGCTGTGAAGATGAGTCTTACAAGAAAGATATTTCTAGTAATATCAATCCCTTGAGTTTGTTGCGTTTCTGGAAGGGGTGTCTTCTTATTGAGACAGATGGCATACTTTGGCTGAAAAGAACCCACTTTTATTCCACTTGTGTCCCATTTGAAGAGACTTTCCATCAGAAATCTTATGAAACATCCTCAGTTAGGCCCTGTATAAGGATGGCCATCCATCTTTATAATGTAATGCATTTGTTGGGGGCCTCACTCCATTTACCTCTGTGGCTTTGAATGAGTATCTTGAATTTGGGCTGCTGTAGTCCTTTCACAATACTCCTAACACATAACTAAACATTTAGCAGGATACGTTATAGCCAAAGTTAGACTTATTTATCTCCTGTTCATTGTGTTTTTATTTCTTCCTGTTTGTACTTGATGGAACTGTATGCAAAGCCTATAACCTATTAAGTACTTCATAAAAGCCTAAAGCTATATTAGCTTTCAGAAAGTGATGGCTGAGCAGACCTTTTTTGAGTCAATATATAGCTTCAAAATCTTTGCTGCAGTTGAACATTTTTATAAAGAAATATTAACTGGAAATGGAGTGATCTTTTATTTTAAAAGTTCACTTTGCTTCAAAATGTAAGTTGATGAACTCTGAAAATTTATAATTCATTATATATTGTATAAGCCAAATGCAACAATTCTTCAAGAATACTGTGTGCTACTTATACAGGCCCTCGTTTTCTTATACTTTTATTATTTTACAATACTACAATATATGGATAATGTAGAGGGAGTTCTTACCATGGACCAGGAATCCAAGGAGAGTCCTTCCCAAAGGAGTTTACATTCTTAAGTAAAAGGTTTCCTTCCTCCACTATTACAGTATTTTGAAGGATCTATTTTTCCAATGTTGGGAGCTTTCAACTCCTGAAAAGTTGACTGTTAAGGACTTTCAGCACCTTAGAACCCCAATGAATAATCTCCTGGAATTAAAACATTTGAACATTGAACACAGGATTTGAAATAAACAGGTTATATCATCCAACCCTTCTCCTTCCCCTCCATGACAACTAGTTACATGGTACAAAATTAAAGGATAAGGGTAGAGGGAGCATTATAGCCCAACAGCTTTTATTCATTCGTTACATGCATTTACAAGATACTCATTATGCTGCCTTTTGACTAGTCAAACATCGAAGATAGGTTCATTCTAAAAAACTGAAGCAAATCCCAGCCTTGAAAATATTTTATATTCTGTATATGTACACAGAAGAGGATTTCTACTTTTGTTTGATTTACCAGGCTGTCTAGCATTCCACATGAATTTTGTTTTAATGTTTTATATGGAAGTCTGTTTTGTTTCTCATTTTCATCAGGGGTATGTTTATCATTTTGTGAGTGCAATCTGTGAATGGACAGTGGCTTTCGGCTTTGTCTTCTACTTCTTAACCTTCATTAGAGATTTTCAGGTTGGTATTTATAAGTCTTGATAGTACCTAAAAAGAGCTACAGATTACATATTAATAGACACTATGGAAATTCTAGTTCAGGTAAAAAGTAAGGTCAGAAATCCAGATAAAGATTTTATAGTACCACACAATTTATTTCTGTCTTTTCATTATGAATGTTTTTGCTTTCAAAGTTAAATGTTATAATATCGGGTACTAGGCGTCAGATCCAGATCACATTTTGGTAACACTTGCTTAATTGCTTAGGCCCTGTAAAGGTACATCTGCTAAAATAAATGGTTTAAACCATGTTTTACCGAGTTTACATACAAGCTGAGCATGTTACAGTTTTCTTGGATTTCATAGAAGCTAGGGATTTCAATTATTAAAAATGAAAGCTTGGTTTCTGGTCTGGAGAACAAAAGGCAGTGTCCAGAAAAAGCAATTGTTCATAAAGTCACAGTGAACCAACTGCCACAGAAGAATACAGTGCCTTTTACAGGTCGCAGTAATGTTTCTTCTAGTTCAGAAAGGCCAGAATTTTTACTGTTGGTCCTTTTGGAAACTTATTGCCATTCTACCAACTGTTTTTCTATTTTCTGAAAATGGTATCTGCATGTGAGGAATTTTTAGACACAGAGCATCGGTTCTCTCTGTCACCTGTGAGACTTGCATGCTTTGTCCATAAAGTCACTTTTGCCCACAGTGCAGTGGTCTGCAGAACCCTTAGAGAGCTCCAGCACTGAAGACATGACCAAATATGTATACTATTTATATTCTAAATAAATGGAAGCAGGTGGGTATATTAAAATGCAAGTCTCTTATCCTTATACGCAGACTGCAACAATATGTAGACTGCAACTCAGAAAAGTTGTCTCAGTACTGTGCGTAATTTAAACACAGCTCATTTTCAGATCACAACCGCTCTCACACTACCAGACAGAAAACCAAAGTGTTCATTCCAAATTAAATAGCAGACTATAACCAAAAAGCCTTCCTCCTTTCCTTGTTTCAAACCCTCGCATCACACTCTTTTTTGCCACACATATATATTTACTCATGTCTCTAGTACATTGAAATACTGTGAAATTTTATGATGTTTAACTGATCTTGTTTTATTTTTCTTATAGCGAGTTACTTTACGGATATCAACAGAAATGCACGAAGACTTCTGATAGGAGAGACATTATAGGTTTTTTTTCAATGAACATTATATAGAGTTTTTTTTCTTACTGAAGAAAATGATGCAGAGAAACAGGGCTTTTCAGTGCTGACATGAAACCCACTTCAATCAACTTTGCAATCTATATAATCATATCTACAAAACCTTTTGGTTTTTTTTTAAACGAAGAATATTTTTAAGTTTCCTTTTCCCCTATAAGGGTTCTCTTTAGTCTGTGTCCTTGCAATATTTTGTATTTTTATACCGTTTGATAATTAAAAAGAATACGAAAAGGTGACCTGCATTTTCAAAGTCTTTCATACGTGTAGAGGCTCCTCAACTCTTCTTTATTGGACACATTCTTGTTTTCCATTTGTAATCATCTTATTCATAACAATAATCTTGAACTGAAAGGAAAAACATGATTTGCATGTTACGAGCAGACAGATGTATTTTTCAAAGGCCTATAGATTTATGGTTACAGTATTCCATGATTTATAATCCCCATTCAGGATAACAGGATAAGTATTTTGTATTGAAAGTTTGAACTGTTTGTATTGCCTGAAAAATATTTCTGTTCATCAGCTTAAGTTATTTTGTAAGACTATGAGAAGGTTAACACCTCCTTTCAGTGGTGGCTATGAGAAGCATAGTACTGACTAATGAAGCGGGAAGGAAAGCATAGTACAATATTAGTTTTCTGAAAGATCAGGAAAACTGGAAGGTTTAGCATGTTACTGCCAACTTTGTAGCAGGGCAAAATTATTCCAATGTATATGCATTAGTCAGTGACAGTGGAAGGAAGAGAGCTTATTCTACAGTCATAAAGAAGTGAGGGAGTGGGAGAAGGAAAGCACTAATGCATTAGCAGGTTTAGTTTATAGGAATTGATGGTCATTACTGAGGGGCTTTTGAGGTTGGAATATGCCATGTTTGCTGCTAACATTTTTTTTGCCATTAACATTTTTAATTTTTTTAAAGAGTTCTTTGTCAATTGAAAAATCTGCAATGAGTTCATTATACTAATCAAAGATCATATCGTATTACAACCAACCAGATTCTTGTGTTTTCTGGTATTGGAAACCAGCAATATTCTCTATGGAGTGTAGAAAAAAAGGAAGCATTTATACTTGTTCACCAGCCTCTTATCGTGCACTAATCACACTGCTATTAGTCTGGCTAGCAAAAATCAGAATTGTCATGACAACAATCATATGTAGAAATGTTGATAATTGGCGAGTATGGATTCATTTTCTATCAGATGTCTGGTCAGTTATCAGTTGAGAGTGATGTTTAAGACTTGTTAGCTGCTATGTGTCCTTTAATAAGTATATTAAACCTAATACCTTGTCAGTTGAGTGTCTCAGTTTCTTTGACTAAAAACTCAAAAAGAGGTTTTTTAGGTTCTGCCTGTTAAAGTAGAGAGACTTTCTTTCTACTTAACAGCACAAGAGCCCTTGCTCAGCCTGTGTTGAGAGCCAGTATGGATGGTTTTTAACTGGTCCATTCTTCCATTTGAGCAATTTTTTTCGTTCCTTTTTACTCCTGGTCTCGTGCATTTCTGAGGTGCTTTGCTCTGTATCATTCTAACTGGAATGAGACTTGGCACTCTGCCTAAATAAGTGATTGAGAACCACTGGGCTAAAAGTGCTCTACTTTTTCCTCTGGGAAACTCAGTCTCTGAAGGCACAGCCCAAACACTACAAATGCCAGCAGTCCTAGGATAAGGTATGTTTTTGCCAGAAAACATCTTCTCCGTCTTCTGTCTTAGCTCATCGTTTGGTGTAATACTTCTAAGGCAAAACAAAAAAAAAATCTCAATAAATAAAATTTGTACTAGAAATGTCTTGACATTCATTAACTCAATAAGCTGGATATAGTGATCAGTTTATAGTACTTAATTTTTACCTGGCCAAGAAATAAATATAGACATGCAATAGGAACTGAAATTCTTTAAAGTTGGTGTCAAACTGGTTTAACCCTCCTCAGGCCAGATCCAGACTTCAGAGTTCCTCATGGGCCCTCTCTTGCCCCATGGGCCTGATGACAGCTCTGTATGCCGGATCCAGCCTGTGGGCCATGTTTGACACCCTTGCTTTAAGTGACAGTTTTATCCTGAAACAACCAAATCACATAAATCTACCTTTGTTAAGGCAGATCATAAGTGAAAGTTTGGTCTCTGCATTCTAAGCTTCTGACCAGCAAGACTTCTATTCTATCAGATTGAGGGCTAGCAATATATCCATTTTCAGTGGCTCCTCATGGTCAACAAAACAATTCAATTCCAAGCTTCAGTGTTGGAAAGCTCTCCTAATTACAAGTTGAGAAGAAATGTGTAGGAAATTACCACCTGCTATTTACTACCTAGACTATTTTTATAATCTGCCGCAACTGAGAGAAAAACGCTGACTGTGTCAGACTTAAAATCAAATCAAGGAGGTGGCTGAGACAGAATGGGCAATTCCCACCCAATTTCTCCCTTTGCTCTCAGGAAAAAAAAGTAATTACTATTAGGCTAAAACAACGATTCGGTAAGCTAGAAATAGATATTGCTAAATGAAGTGGATCAGCTGTGCCATGTTGTGGCATAGCTGATCCGCTTCACTGGAGGTAACATGTTGCTCCTGGTCCTGCCATTGATGATGCAGGGCCAGGGGCAATGTGATCTTGCTGCTTTCCTTGCTTACCTAGACCTGTCCACCCTGATCACAGGGGGGTGGGTCTGGCTGAGTGGGGAACCTCGACTTTCCCACCCATAGAGGGGCACCCCAGATTCTCTGGAGGCCCTCTCTGTAAGCAGGGAAAGCAAGCCAATGCTCTGGGTGCTTGAAGCCCTCAAACCCCCAGAGCACCTCTCCAAGGTGATGAGAGTAGGAGCAGCTCAGGCTGCTCTACTCCTGCCACAGAACTAATAGATGCCTGCCACAATAAAGTAGCAGAGTTTATTATTACCTTTTGTCGTGCCACTGATTGTCCCTTGTGGTGGTGTAACAAAGGGTATATTATAGGGGCGGGCAAAGTCCAATCCACAGGCCAGCAGTGGATTGCATTTCCCAGCAGCCCCTACTCACGTGGCTGGGGCTGGTGTTAGCACCACTGTCCACCAGATAGTGCTTAGGGATCATTAAAGCACAATTAACCCTTAAATGGGTTATGAAATATGAACACAGACAACTCAGTGTCCTAAAATCAAAGTCTAACTTTATTAGTACAACAAGTATTATCTTAGCAGTTTCTATATTCAGAGAGAAAAATCAGTATAGTGATTGCACCCAATCCCAGATATTACTTTGTTCAACAGAAAAGGCTGCCACAAAGTTCCTGAAGCAAAGAGCATGTCATTGTCTGGGACAATCCAGACAGGTGTTGAAGGCTGGATTTATGATGGTGACAATGACAACACACTTAACTTCCTTGCTGCTCCCTTTTATGCTTTTTTTTTAGCTTCACTCCTTTGACGACTCCTGGCTTTCGGATAGCTCTCGGGATAAGCCGGGGCACAGCTGTAATCTGCTGCCTGCACACCCCAGCCCAGAGCATGCAGGCTGCAGATCGCGGCTCTGCCCTTGCCCTGGACCAAGCTGCCCTGCTGCAAGATCCCAGTGGCTCCGGAGCAGCCCCCAGCCCCGTCCTGCCATGCACCCTGCCCACGTGGCTGGGGCCAGTTTCCATTGCAACACCAGCCTTACAATATCACAGCGCAGGTGCGGCTGGGGTCACCATGGAGCCCAGCCCCAGCCATGTGGGCAGGGGTTGCTGAGAAATGGAGTTTGGCTGCTGGCTGGATCTGCCATTTTGTCCACCCCTGGCCTATGAGCTCACTTTTCGGCTAGTCTATGAGCTCACTTTTTGGGAGCCAATAGACAAAATTTTGATGGCAGCACAAATGAAACATCAGGTGATGTCTGTTTCCACCCTATTAAGAGATTGCTTTTCTTCTGTACTGGTCTGCATATCCTGTTCCTGAGGACGCTTCTGTTTCCCACAACAGGTAGGTGCTCAGGGGAGTAAGAAGACAGTGGTACCAGGCGCATCTACATGTTCATTAATGGTCTTTTGCTACTGCGCATTAAGTTTAGTACCTCTAATATGAGGTACTATGTAAAGGTACATTAGGCTGCGCTAAAGTGCAGTAGCACAAACAAATGTTTTTTTAGTGACACTTAATGTGCAGTAGCCTATTCTATTGCACATTAGCATATTACAATTTTGTTTACTTGCCACTTTAATACGCGGTAGAATAAGCTACTATGCATTAAAGCACATGTGTAGACACACCCACTGTGTTGTAAAGTCACAAGTCTGCCCACAGTGAGTCAGACAAAATTAATGCAAATAAAAAAAAATAGTATGCTTTCTGACACCTATCAATGATGCAGGTACAGCCTAAGAAGCTGAAAGCCAGCATGTTCAAGACTGATACAGGGAAATATTAGAAATCAGTAAGGGCTGGATAAAGAGATCTGCCTGCAAGCTGAGATATGAGAAGCATAGCAAAGTAAATTGCCTCCCTCCACCCACCATTCTGGTTCTATAGAAATACCTACGGAGATTTACTAGCAGCAATTAAGTTCACACAAATTGTGAATACAATATTATTAGGAATAAGACACATTTGGCACAGGAGTTCATGCTCTCAGACAACTGAAACCTTTCAAGTTTTTTAGCAAGCTGAAAAAAAATGTAGCAAGACACTCATAACAAGTAGAGGCTTAGAAAAAAAACAGTTAATATTAAAAGTGAAAACTAAATATACTGATAACATAACACTGAAAAAGCTCTTTGGCTTACCAAGCAGATGCTTTATAAAATCAGGAAGTTAATCTGATAAATTACTGATTTGAAAGCTTAACTGGATACAAGACCAACACATTTAGTCCAAACAAAAATAAGTCAACAAAAGATACTTACTCACCCTATAAAATATGTACTACTTTTGCTGCATATTATTTAAAATATTCTTCAGAAACTCCAAAGCCACAAAGTTATTCAAAACTACTCAAGAGCAAAAACCTTGCCAAAGATATATAAAATTAATTAAGAAACTAATTATGATGTCTTAGAGGCAGTAACAAGAAGCTAAATTTTACAAGGTATTGAAGGAGGTATGAGACATCTTGAGAGGCACATTTTATTAAAGGAAACTTCCATAACTTACACAGGAAAACTTTTGGTCTCCCCAGTTGAACCCCTCCTCCCCCCACAAATCTTACACAGATCTGTGGGCCCATATCAATTTCATATAATGATATAAAGGTTTTAGCAAAAAAATACTAGATAACCAATTACAGTAACTGAGAATAGAAATATGTCACATTCAGAATGATCTGGCACTCTGAATCAAAAGTATCTTTCTTCTATTGACTCAGAAAATTTTTGATATTCGAACTTTCTGTTCCAAGTTATATTCCATATGGTACAGATGCCCCATTCCCTGAATAGATAACTGCTCCTTAATATCATTTGAATCTCCTATTTGAATTATACAGGGGACCTAGGATGGGATGTCCTGTCCTTTATTTCTTGCACTGGCCTTGGAAGAATACAGGGATATTGACTTCATTATAGGCATATAATTAATGACATACTACTATTTTAAATCTCACCTGAACATTTCCTTAAACTTATGATCTAAAACAAATCTGGGACACTAGGATTTTACTTGACCTTTAAAATAAATTATGTCAAATATGAAATGTAGGCTGTACATTTGCCAGGCTTCAAGAGATTCCATAAAACTTGTGGGTGACACATTCTGTGAGAGGCCTGGAAATTCAATCCCAAATAAAAGAAGTGCATGATTTAAGTGGTAGCTCCACCATCACAGCACACTAAAATTGATTTGGAGTGGTAAGGGAAATATACCTGTACTCAGTTGGGAAGAATGGCTGCAGATAACAATTATCTTGCTAAGAATATAATAGTTTCAAAGTCTTTTTATAATCATCCAAGATTAAACTTTATTAGGAATACAAAGGATGTTGTTGACTATATAGAATAAGAAGAGACTAAGACTGAGTGCAGATACTTCGTACAAACTTACCAAACAAGTTACATTGATTTTCCAACCATGATACGGCATTTTCAAACCAGGCAGCTAAAAGCAATAGTGGAGTAGTGGAGGTTTTCCAGTACAACTAATTGCTGGGAACTGTGAGCATGATCATCCAACCAGTTATGTGTCTACCTTACAGTACTTTCATCCAGGTACCAGTCCATTTTCCAAGGACTGATTATGCAGTTTTCACTGAACAGTCATTGGATAAAATATATAAACAATCCTTGGAGCAGGATGGTAAAGCACTGAAACAGGCTACCTAGAGAAATTGTGGAATCTTCTCCCTGGAAATTTTCGAGAACAGATTAGGTAGGCACTCGGTTAAGTCGGGGACGAACCTGCCTTGAGCACAGGGCTGGATTAGACGACCTGAGGTCCCTTCCAGCCTGACTTTCCTATGATCCTGTGTTTTCTTGAATATATACAAAATAGTTAATTCCTAGAATGCAGCATCTTTCTAACTCTGTATATCAAGAGCATAAATGTAGGCAGCAGAGGGAACATTTGAGTTTATGTCAAATACGGTATTTCAGACATGAATTATTTGACTAGGAACTAGAGCTTGAAGGACTAAATTCTTGTTTGCACGTAACCAATCCTTTGGCATGGAAGACACATCAGGCAATCATTATTACAGTCATTTTATGTAAAAAGAGTCAACTATTTTCTCATCTCACAGGTACTTTTCAGGAATCACGTAGTTGAAAATGCACTTCAAAGTTAAAAAGAACAGTATTATTTAATAATATAATGCTACAAAAACTAAGTTACAAAGTTGGTACTATACACAACAGATCACTCCAGGCAACACAAGCAAGTGGCTGATAGCATAATAAAAATGAAGAGAAGAGATATTTAAAAGAAATATTATTTTGGGTGCAGATCTGCAAGTTGTATTTGGGTATACAAAGGACCTTTCCACTTCTTAATGGGGAATACAAACAATTCCTT